GTGTTTTACAGATTTACAGCTATTCTGCAGTATTACATAGTATTCCATTGTGTGTATGTACCAAAATTTTATTCATTCTTCCATTGATGGGTATTTAGGCTGTCTCCATCTTGTTGAATTGTGAATAGTGCTGTCTTACATTAGTTATTGTTAGGTTTATTCTTTGTTGTTGTTGTTGTTGTTAGGTGCCATCGAGTTGGTTAAGACTCATAGTGACCTCATACAAACAGAACAAAACAGTGCCTAGTTCTACACCAGTCTCACAATTGTCACTGTGCTTGAGCTATTGCTGCTGCCACGGTGCCAATCTGTCTCATTGGGGGGTGAGGTCTATCTTTTTTTGCTGACCTTCCACTTTTTCAAGTATAGTGTCATTCTCCAGGTATTGGTCCCTCCTGATAACACATTTGAAGTATAAGAAGCAAAGTCTCGCCATCCTTGCATCTAAGGAGAATTCTGGTTGTACTGCCTCCAATACAGATTTGTTGGTTCTTCTGGCAGTCTATGGTACTTTCAATATTCTTCTCCAACACCATAATTCAAATGCATCAATTCTTTAACGGTCTTCCTTATTCATTACCCAACTTTCACATGCATATAAGACTATCGAAAATACCATGGCTTGGGTCAGACAGACCTTAGTCCTCAAACTGGTGTCTTTGCTCTTGAACATTTTAAAGAGGTCTTGTGTAGCAGAATTGCCTAATGTAATGAGTCATTTGATTTCTTGACTGCTATTTCCATGTGTGGTGAATCTGGATACAAGCAAAGTGAAGTCTTTGGCAACTTCAATTTTTCCTCCATTTATCATGATGCTATTTATTGGTCTAGTGATAAGGATTTTGGTTTTCTTTACATTGAGGTACAATCTATACTGAAAGGCATGGTCTTTGATGTTCATCAATACATACTTTACATCCTCTTTGGTTTCAGCAAGCAAGGTTGCATCATCTGCATTATCACAGGTTGTTAAGGAGGCTCCTTCTAATCCTGATGACACTTTCCTCTTCATAAAATCCAGTTTCTTGCATTATTTGTACAGCATACAAACTGAATAAGTATGGTGAAAGAATACAGTCCTGGCACCCACCTTTCCTGATTTTAAATCATTCAGTATCCCTTTGTTCTTTTTGAATAACTGCTTCTTGGTCTATGTACAATTTCCTTATGAGCACTATCAGGTGTTCTGGAATACGCATTCTCTGCAATGTTATCCATAATTTGTCATGATCCTCACAGTCAGAAGCCTTTGCACAGTCAACAAAACACAAATAAGGACCTTTCTGGTATTCTTAACTTTCAGCCAAGATCCATCTGACACCAGCAATGATATTCCTAGTTTCATGTCCTCTTCTGAATCTGATTTGGGTTTCTGGCAGTTCCCAGTCTTTGTACTTTTTCAGCTGTTTTTTTTTTGTGTGTGTGTCTATGTGTGTGTGTGTTTTTAATTGTCTTCAGCAAAATTTCACTGCATGTGATATTAATGATATTGTTCAATGGTTTCCACAATTCCACATTCCTCTCTTTGGAATGAGCACAAATAATGATTTCTTCCAATCTGTTGGCCAGGTAGCTTTCTTCCAAATTTCTTGGCATATATGAGTGCTGCATCAGTTTGTTGAAAAATTTCTATTTGTATTCCATCAGTTCCTGGAGCCTTGGTTTTTGTCAATGCCTTCAGTGTACCTTGGACTTCTTCCTTCAATCCCATTGTTTGTTTGTTTTTTAATTTAAGGTTTTTTATTGTGGATTGAGTAAAAGTTTACACGGCAGATCATCAGTTTTACATTCAACAAATCATACACCTTGTTTCATTACAATGATTATAATCCCTTCCATGTACCATCAGTTAACAGTGTTTCTCTCTATTCACTTTAGCTTTTTGTTTCATTTTGTTTTAACACTTAAGCATATATAATAATTTACACCACCAAAGGGCAC